GCTCTCAGTCCCGGGTACAGCTGGGTTCGCTGGGCTGCCCAGGCTCACGCTGACTGGCACATCTGGCTGTGCCTATGGAAAGTCAAAAGGAGGGTAGACTCAAACCTAAACTATCTTCATCAACAGCAAAGCCCTCACCATCACCAGCACAGGATCACACCACACAGACCAAGCAGGATGTGCCAGGTAATTAACGAGAATTTGCACAAGTACTTCATTAACACTTGGGACCGACCACAAACTCTTTGCTGCATTATACTTGTGGCAAAATTTTCAAAAGTGCCTAGGGTTAATTTTGAAAACTGTCAAAATTTTCTAAGATCCCAAGTCCCACTAAAAGCTGGTGGGGCTCAGGCTGCCGAGTACCCAAACTGACAGCAACCCCACACTGCATTCTATTTTCTGGGGCATTTTTGAAGGAAGATAGACAGACAGGGCCAGAATTTCAGAAAAATGTTTGTATCTAAAAAGCAGACAGAAATTTAGGAGAACTTTCTAAAGAAAACAAATGAACTTAATGTCCAGCATGGAAAGCATAATAAGGGATTTGGGTATAGAATTTGCTTAGATGCCAAATGGTACTTTTAGAAGTGTCTATCTAAACCCTTAAATACTCAACTTCCTTCCAAATTCAGACCATCAGGATCTTAAGAACAGTACTACACCAAGGGCACAAGTCCCAAATGCATCCACTCAGAAGGTCCTGAGCAATCACAATCTTGGATTTTAACTTGATGATGATGCAGAGAAATGCCAGGTTCCCTCAAGAATTAAAGCATAAATAGTAAACTATGGCTCTTTGAACATGGTGGAAATTAATTCTTCTAGACACAGGTATTTCAAGGTTCTTGGAAACCAAAGACTCAGACTCCTCCTAAAAGAAAAGGTAATAAAATACATAGTTTGGGGCTTTCACACTCCCTACTTCTATGTATTCCTTCTGCAACACAAGCATAATGAGAGAAGTTACATTGCATGGTAAACAGCATGTGACTATCGAGCAAACAGGGAATACGGGGACAAAAGTGTTTAGATGTGCTTGCTACCTGGCGGGCAGAGTGCTCTTCTCACTCCACTGGGAGCTGCAAGCACTGCAAGAAGCCTCCTGTTTAAGGGAACAGCAAACTTCTCCTAGACTAAAATGGAACAGGATCAGCCGCCAAGTGCTGTTACAGTGGAGAAAACAAAATTCCAATCTGAAAAAAATGGTTCAGTCTTTCTCTCCCCTTTTTTAAAGAACCAAAACCTAAAATGTGATTTATTTTTTTTTTACTGCAAAACACTGTTTAAATGGGGCTTGCTTTTTCTACTATTTAACAAATCTCTTTGCATATGGCACATACCAGAAACTCATATCAACAATGTAAACATCCCACCTGAAAGCAGAGCATTTTGCTGACAGAATACAATTCTTTTTCTTTTCTTTATTTTTTTTCCAAAAACATTGCACAGGCTGTGGTTTATTAGGGGTTTGCAACACCAAAGGACTGCACAAAGCGGAAAATGATCAAGGTCTAGCCTCCAAAAGGTTGCTGCAACTGCAGGTCAAAAAGTTTTGCCTCCTTTGGACTAGAAACTGTTATAAACCCCCCTAAAAAATTACCTGCTTCATTATCTACTAAAAAACCCCAAAGCAAAAGAAATGGTATTCACATGTTTGATATAAAATCTGTCCGGTATTTTCTTTTGTGTTGTATTTAAGCCAACCTGGGAAATTTCCTGATCATTGCCTGCCAGAAATGCACTGCAAAGCCTGAAAAGCAGATTCGTAAGGAGTGGGCACCTGCATAAATTGGATTCTAGGAGTAACTATTTGGAGTGCAAACAAAAGTCACCTCTTACCAAGTTAACCTCTCCCAGCTACTGTAGCTTCTTCACTGATATTCCTTCCAGTTTGGATAAAATCAACCATCATTCTGATTTTAAGCCTGTCAACAATCCCTTCACTGTAAAAGACCTGAGTTAATCAAACTGTACCCACAGCCAGGCTTGCGTAGCAACGCAGTAATGATTTGTGACAGCTGCACTGGCAATACAGAAAGAAAACTTAACAAATTAGACACTGACACTGATTTTACCAAAAATGATGATGAGGAAAAATATAATAATTCCATTTCAGCACATTTTTTGGACAATTTTTCTTAGCTCAACCCTGTGTATGACTGCTTGGGGGATTACGTGGAAGTCCACTTGCAGGATTTTGCCTCATTCTTGAGTACCTCTTCGCAATTTTACCAACTGGGCACCCGCTAACACTTTCTCCGATAACTTCTTACTTTCTTCTTCTAGCAAAGGCAATATAAAAATCAATATAAGAAATCCAGTCCCAGTGATCACGCACTGAAAATGGAGAAAAAAGTGCTTGGAGATGTGACATTTTAAAGCGTCTCTGTAAGTTTAATTTTTAAAGGACAGAATGAGGCATATTAAATTCTTCTCATACTATAAGGTATGCGTATCACTTGTACAAGAAAACCCCAATAAAATGATTAATCAAAGTGACTGAAAAGGTGTGAAAACAGTGCAAGCCAGAATTGGTGGAGATCTGGTGAGAACTTGGAGACATCTTTTTTTCTTTTGAATGAATTTGGCTATATCCTTTCCCTTTAACCTAACGGTGCACTTTGGATCTTTGCCCTTCTGATTTCATTGAAAAACACTCACTAAATATTTCTGCTGATAAAAGCATTCAGAGCCATGCTCTAGAGTCACTCTGTCGAAAGGCTAAACGTCTTCTCTACTGGTAAGAGTATGATGGGACGGTATCAGGCAAATGCAACCAGTAATAAACCAAAATCCTGTTTTCCAGCAAAAGCTCACTCTAACAGAAACGCAAAGCAAAAAGAAACTCTGAAGTGATAACACACATGCTGACTGGCTTTGATAGAGAATATTTTCCAACATTTTTGGGAGGTATCAATAAGATCAGGAAATATGGTGAATATGTAACAAGAGGAAAAAGTGATGGATGCAATGTCAGAAATTTAATACGAAAGGACTTCTCCTACAAACTCTTCCTTTCACAAGCATTCTTACTCACACAAGCAATCCTCTTCTTGGCAAGGGGCTGCAGGATCCAAATATAAAAAGCATACATAGTCAAATGATTTTTGAGAGATACTGAACTTTATATATATAATTCTTTTTGTGGGAACAAAACTTTAAAATTGTGTGGTACTGGTTGGTGCTGCCAGTCCCAAAGAGCGTTAATATCTTAAAGCCTTGACCCTGTAGACCACTGGCTTCCCAGAAGGGTCTATAGAAATTACTCAAGACTTTATTTGTTGGGTTTGGAAATGGCTACACTGTATAAAAATGTTTTTGTATTTATTTTTTAAAAAATTAGCTTTACAAAAAGACTTCTCCCTTTTTCTCTTTTTCTTTTTTTTTTTTTTCTTAAAGATATCATTATCTACAGGAACCCATAAAAATTTTTCCATATTTACATCTAGATAGCTAATCATTGACAAATATAATATCGTGAAATAAAATATTGAAAGTGAATATCCAACCTTTTAAATAGACATTTGGCTCACAGCATAAACAACAGAGAAAACAAATAAACAGAACAAAAAAAAAATCAAAAAAAATCTGCTCTTCTTACAGGCCCGATCTTTTCCTTTCTCTTAAAAAAAAAAGGAAAAAAGAAAAAAAACCGTATCGGTGGGATCAAACACGCTGCTTCTAAGCAGAATGCCAGCAACAAACTGCTCCCATCCAGCACCTCACACTGAAAAACCAAGTTCTCTGAAGCTTGTGAGTGGTTGCTGAGACATACGAGCGTCCGGCTGCCGCGGGACTGGCACCTGTCCCCCACGCTGCCCCTAATGCATCCGTTTGCCTCTTACCCTGAGGAAGGGCACGGCACACGCCCCCACCCCCTGCCCCCCGCTTCTGCTCTTGAGAGACGTAGCTTAGCGTCGTTCCTAAATGATATATTTGGCCACTGATGCACGGAGGCATAAGGTTAGGGTAGGAAGATGACAGCGTGCCTCTAGTTTCTGAGTCCATACACACATTTGCTCTCTGCTCTCTCCTGCCCAAACACACACACGGCCCCACGCAGCCATTCGCGCACCCAGAAGTATACAGAGGGCCAGGTCCTCTCCGGGGGAACAGGCCAGCCTGCCACACAGTCCCTCATAACCCCCTCTGGAAAATAAATTTCCTGGCACATCCCTTTCGCCAGCAGTCTGGGAAGCGCCGAGGAGGAGGAGGCGGTGGTGGAGGAGCCCGCTCAGACAGACAGAGCCAGGCCAGCAGCCCGGGCCACCGCAGCCCTGCTGAAGGGCTGCTGCCTGCAGCCAGAGTGCAGACTGGGACCTGGGGGGCTACAGGGAACACAAAGCTCCTTCAAAATGGTCTCCGGTTCCCTCGTGGGCACAAATTCTCTAAAATACAGGCCGTCTGTTTGTTGTTGTGTAGCGGGACGTGTTCTACAGCTAGCGTAACAAGAACTCATACTATGCTATACCCCATTACATCCACTCACACTTGCAAACAGCCCCCCCACGCACACATATATGTTGGCAGGATATATCAGCATTCATATAAAGCTTTGGAACTTCTATCCCTCAGCATTAAGAGCAAAGCTACTTAACTGGTACCTTACTGTTAACTGCAAATGTGCTTTAGAAGCAGCATTTCCTTAGATAACTTTCTTCTGTAAATATCACAGTGACCATAATATATCATTAAATGTATTTTGCTGAAGTGCGCAGCCAATAACCCTGGCTATATATATATTTATTTATATAATTCCACCCACCCCCGAATCTCTTGAAACAAAGTCTGTAAAAAGCCGGTGTCGCAGTGTGAAAGCTTCCTTGAGCATAGGAGTTTAAACAATGTACCTCACCATAAAAAGGAAAGAGAAACAAATTAAACAGCTGTAGGCGCATTATCCCATACTTCTACAGTGTTGTGTCTAAATGCTGTGCTGGCTTGAGAAAGAGTCTGTGCACGAGTCAATCTGTCTTAAAATACTGCTGTAAATATTGTCATTGGTTCGGTTCTACAGTTGTGTTCTCCTCTTCATCCCTCTTGGGCTTCCCTTTCTCCTCCTCCTCTTCCCTGATGGCCTGGATTTGTTCTGAAGATTGGTGCAGTGTGGATTGCTCTGTGCCTTGCTTCTCTGTCCCGGCTAACCTCTCCTCGTCCTCAATGACTTTCTTCCACATTTTATGGTTCTGAAGCAGGTGCTGAGTGATCTGGCAGTAGATTTTCCTCCTCTTGAACTTCTTTCCTGTAAAATACCGTGTGACATTAATGTACTGTTTTCTGTGAGAGAAGGAGAAGGGACTGGAGGTGTAGGAAGCAGACACAGTGTACTATGACATATAGGAAGTCCACCAACAGATTTTTAAACACAAAAACTTAAACAGTCTTAAAATTCAGAAAAATGTGCCTCTCCAGACCTCCAGGAAAGCAAACCGGTGTCCTGCACAGTTTGAGCCCCAGCTTCATCCTATCATAGGCTGCATGCTGTTCCTGGCTATGCAGCTCACAGAGCCATCTAGTGCTTGAGTGATTATGGATAGAATATGTTGCTGAGCCATTTCTGCCTTTTTTTTTTTTTTTATATCAAGTATTTAAAGACTCTGACCAACCTTCTGCATAACACACACATTAAATTCTGTGGCTGCCGCCCCACAATGCATGCCTGCTGATTGCCACAGAAGAAAAATCCTGATTTTGTTTTCTTCGCATTTTACTTCTGATCTGAGCTGTAGAAGGATAATAAATGAGCAAGCATTAGTAATCAAAGGAGGAAACCCATTCCTATGTTCCTTTTTCAAAGTCAGAGATTTACCACTCCACCATCACAGTGGAGATGACTTTAAAGCCCTTTCACAACATTGCTTTGGCAACAGAGTCTGACCACTGAAGAAGTAGTCATATAGCCAAATACTATCAGGGAGCTCACTTGCCTTTGGTTTTGAAGCATCAGTCCCCTGCTGTTAACCTATAAAATGTTTTTGCCACTGGTAGTTCTCATGGCTCCTGACAGAGCTGCACTACAAGTGTTTTGCTGTCTGAAGTGTGGTTTTTTTTCTGTGTCAATACAGTCTGTCCAACACAGATTGTTAACTCCTTAACAGTACAAAGCTTGAAAATTTTCCCTGGTCATTAACAGTGGCAATGGCAGTCACAGAACTGAAATAATAACCCCTCCAAAGACAACTGCTGATTTCTTTTTTAAAGAAGGTGACGTAGAGGAACGTTTTGTACCAAATAAATTTGCGTGGATTAGTATTTGCAGGTTGCCTAAAGTATGTCTGTGTCAGGATCCAAAACGTTTAGCCCTTGAAGCTTTTGAACTGGAAACAAAGAGCTTTTCACTGAGCACAGACCAAATCCAACTCAATCCTTCATTAGAAAGCCCTTGGTTCCCTGTAGGAAACCTTCAGGTTTAGCACTAATAAGAAACCCCTACCCTGCCAATGCTGCAGCAGGACATTCTCTCCTGGGTTTCCTGGGTGACCCCGCATCTCGCTGCTCTCCACAGACACCAGCGAGCACTTGCTGTAGTGTTAAAATTTGTCTGAATCACTAAAGATCAAGCCTCTTTAATTCTTGTACTTGCATCAGAACTTTGGGGGAATCACATGCTCCTGTATAATAACAAAAACTACTTTAAGCTACCCTAAGGTTTTATAACTCTTAAATTTATCTCAACTGCTCTAGTGAATTATCAGGACCTAGGTGAAGTGTTTTCTGCCACAATTGTATTTCCACCTGCTTAAAAGGCATTTCCACCAAGAAAAAGATCTTCAGCAGCATCTAAACCACTCTTAGTATCTATGCATCTGAATTCTCAACCTTTTATTTCACTTCATTGAGAAAGTTTAAAACATCCAAAATTGTGTTGATCATAGGTATACGTTTCTATTGACCTGTAAGACCCCTATATTGACACAAAAGATGCCATAGATTCCTGATTCAGATCCACACAGCCACAGAGAATTACGGGAACTGGAAGAAAATCGCTTGTAACACGTCGGTATGGCTGAGATGAGCACCCCACATTTGGTAAGAAGGAAGTAGGAAGAATTTGTTTGGATATTTCAGAACTTCTGATACATTCATTTTTAAGGTTTTGAAAAAGACAAAGAGCCTAAAAGCACCAGGTTGAATAATAAAGTACTGTCACGGAATAGAATGTGAAAAAGAAAACAGAAGGCATCTAAAAAATGGTCTGTTTTTAGTGCGACAAGGTTTAATAATGGTCTGTGCTATTAACCTGGAAGCAGCATTGTTGGACTTGACTAGCAGTGATGCAGAAGATAAGTGAATACTGAAATGAGGTGAAAGGAAACTAAGGAATTCAAAGCAAGGTTAGACTCTCCAATGGATAAATGAGAACATCCTTCATCTTTCTTTTTAATACAGCAATATCAGTTTCAGGCTTTGGGGTCTATGTTGGTTACTAATTGCATATGCTTTCCCCCTGGTAGGAAATTCCATAGATGCCAATCTGCCACAGGAGCATGTGGCTCTGCCTGCTATCACAGAGCTGATAGACCATAAGGTGCTAAAACAAACCTCTGTGCTATATAACAATGTTTGCTGTTCTCAGCAACAGTTTTTGTGCATGTGAACCTGCTAAACTTAAAATATGTGCGTGTGTGTGTGTGTGAATACCACCAATGATTTCTTCAATACAAACTGTATACACCTGGAACTTAATAGAGATAAAAGGTCAATTCTGCACATCAGGAGATGTAGATTTTAGTTCCACATCCTTATGTGACTTATTGCAATCATCAGATCTTTCCGCTTCTCAGCTTCCCCAACAGAAAATAGGGATGATACTCAGTAGGGCATGAAAGTGTGTGGGAAAGAACAGAAAAAGCGAGGCTGTTAAGAGAAAAAGCTATGTATCAGTATTTCACTAGTACACTTAAGGCCGGTGCTTTCTAGAAGGATTAGATGTGGGGGAGGGAGAGAAAGATGACCTGGAGGAAGGAAATAAAATAACAGTAGGAGGAAATTCAGAGGAAGGAGGAACATGAAAGAGAGGAAAAGGTAAGGCACGCAGGATTAAACTGGTAAAAGAAACAGGTCTACAGTTGCTGCCTTTTCTCTTAAAAATCACTTATAATGAGTTCCTGAGATCTCCTTTCAAGGTACAAAGTTTTCCTCTCAGTATGACAAATGTTGGCACTGTTGGCCCTCTGGAGGAGAGGTGGAAGACTATCAGCTTTAGATACTGATTAGCCAGAAGGGCCAAGTGATGCAGCTCCCAGCACACAACACAGCAATGCTCAGTGCTGATTCTTTCCCCATTCTTCTCCACGCATTACTTTGAAGACACTTGCATTAAAATACTTCCATGCTGCTTTTACTGCATCACCATCTCAGAGCCTCATTCTATTATTCCTGTACATCGTGCTAACTCATGGAAATGGTGAGCGTTTTCCTCAGAAAATCTTCTCCCAACCATCCTTTCTTCATTGCTGCAGTTTACTAACATCAGCGCTGAAATAGTCTAAAAAGCCCTCATGCACAAATGGGTGATCCCCCATCAGAAACCTCAACCGAAGGTAGAAGCGAGTAGTAGATATGAAGAGCAGTGTGTATCAGTCCTGAAACCATGGAGCGTCTCCATTACCAATGTAACTGGCTACATGCCAGTTTCACTAAGGACAGCACTGAATCACTGTAACTCTGGATAAGGCCCATGTTGAACCTGACCACCTCACGGTCTCTATGCTTTTACAATGAGGGTGCTTAGTTTTGGGTTATGATATAAAACTTGCTCTGTTGGAAAATACGATGTCCGCAACTTACTGGATTCAGCATTTTCACAAGTTTCCATTTCTGCTGTTTCTTCTTCTTCATGCTCATCAGTGTCTCCTGATTCATCACTATCTTCTATCCATTTTCCTGGCATCAGCCCCGCTGAGTCATAGGAGTTACATAGTGGTCCCACAATGTGAGTGATGAAAGATTCCTGGAGGTGTGCCAGCTGAGGAGCAGAGCGATCCATGAAAGGACTGATCGGCAAGCCCAGGCTAGCCTCTTCATCACCCTGGAGATGAAAAATAGCGGTAATTTTTCTGAAGTAAATGAAACAAAACCATGTCACGAAAAGGAGTAATGCACATCAAACCAATTAAAAATGATGAAAGAAAAATAATTCAACTCTAATGTCACTTCCATACCATGCCAGCATGACATTACTACAGGGCCATCACGTCAAACAGTTAATTGAAGTTACAGCTCTCTTCTCGTAAGAGGACCCACTACCAATACTGTGAATTTAACAAGGATGTTAGTTGATGACTGTGCAAAATGTTGCCAGCCACCCTTGTCCTGTACTTTGCACTGTGAGTTTGAAAATTTGCAAGTCGTTATTTTCTTTCTTTACATTATTTTCAAAAAAACCCCTTCTTATTTTGTGATTGTTAACTCACAACAACCTTGTAGTCAGCCACCTGTTTGCAGGCAACAAGATTGCTACAAGCAAGGGCTATCGCGTTTAACTAGTTTTCTTATTAATTTTGTCCTTACCACACGTAACTTGGAGAAGTCCTCTTGGCTTTGGGTCATAAGTATTTGTTTCCTGGGACTATTAGAATGATCCCTATGAAAGCAGGGTTACTCAGAAGCAGTAAATCTTTCCCATAAGGGTTTTTGCTAGCTTTACTTGGGGAGACAGGGTAGAGAAGAGGTATAGGAAGACTTTTTTCTCTCTCCTCTCATGATGTAAAAGAAGGTAAAACTTTCTTGCAGTACCAAGTCTGATATACTCAGTCATCCCTACCACAGCGAAGCTTCTGGTGATAGCAATGAGTTTTCAGACACATAGACGTGTCAAGACTGGATGCCAGCTCCCCAAGAAAAAAATCTAACCCCCCCAATCAAGCCTGATATGCAAATTAATGTTTTAATACAATACAGAGTTCTATATTTGAGAACATAGATTAGAATTTGGAGAGACATTTTCAGTTTCCATTACATTACAGATTGCCTGAATTTATCTCCTCGTAACCTAAATTTTCCAAAAGTCATGCAAAATGTATCTGATCAACACCCTGTTAATATCCGGGAATGCCAAAGAATGAGAGTTAAATTTTGAAGCATGTATGACAAATATCTTGGTTCCATGTGTTTTGTTTTGTTACTTTTATGTTCCCGAAATGTTATGTTCAATCATTAAATGCAAAATATTAGTGTTAACAAAAAACTGAAACATGCCACCCATTCTTGAAATAGCAAGCAATTTAAGAAGAGGTGGCAGCTTGCTCTTCTTTATAGTAGCACATCTGAGATTTCCTAGTTGTGAGCTGTCAGTAGTGGGAAGAAAGCTGACTACTGAAATGTTTACAAGTTCTTTTTTCATGTTCCGTTAAAACATGTTTTATTATGTGAAACATCTTGCAGTGCATTTTTTGATTCCTTTTAGTAGGTCTAACCTGTCTTCAAATAAGTATGCTGAGCATGTAGGGGGAAGAAGAGGAAACATACTGTAACAATATTGCATAGCATTTTGAATGTCTCTATGCAACATGTTTTTAATAAGAAGTTTTTATTTATGAGGGAGTTAAATTCTTCAAAGGATTTGGTGTTTATTAAAGGGAATTCAAGAAAGATATTTCATTATTTTCACAGCATAGGTTGAATATACATATGTATGCTTTTTGGTAACAATGCCAGGGAAATTAAAACTTCCCATAACATTCTCCTTTTTAGAAAGGAGAAAATGAAGACTTTTCTCTTCTCAGAAAAAATCTGATGATCAAAAGCATGGTGAAGACGGTTTGATAAACCTCTCATAGCATATTACACTAAAGAAAATCAGATTTTAACCTATGTTAAATAAATTGAGAATCTAGTTTATCCTCCTTAATGCCAAAAGTAAGTCTTAGGAAGAAAACATTCTCTGTTTTCAATCCCATCAGTATCCTGTCAGTGTGGCAACTCATGCCATACAAAAAAAACCCCAAACCCAAACCAGGAAATCCATGGGGATATATTGATTTCTCAATACAGTGAATACACATCTCCAAAACCAAACCCCCCTAATATCTTACTGACTACCTGACCTCTTGGAATTTGGAAGCCAAAAGTTGAAATACATTTGCCCACAATCCCCATGCCAAAAGGAATTCCATTAACAAAGGTAACGTGTTATTCTGAATCAAATTTTGCAGAGAGGATAAATCTCAAATGTATTTTTTTAATTACAGGATTATAAAAAAGATAGTCTCCAACAGTCCTTTGGAACAGCTTCCAAGAGCAGGAAAACATTAGTAACACACCTTTCTGACCGATGGAAAATAACCCAGATTCCTACTGTGGAACAGATAACACAGTGTCCTCCCACATGTGTTCCTCCCAAGCTTGATCCAGAGCTCACTATCCAACACTTTGATGATATTAATGTACTGGAGCACTTAGTGCCTTCTGACGTTAGTTATGTTGGATCAAAGGAGAGTCGTATCGTACATCTGATTAACAGGTTTTGTCTGCATGCAGTAATCACCCATACAAGCTATGATCATCACCAGAATTAAGTGAAGTACAATTTGTTGGCTCAGTTGTAATGAAAACAGACAAATATGAAGAAAAGCATTTCTTGAAAGAAAATTTGAGAGATGAAGGTTGACTGTCGTTACAGGACTCTCTTTCTTTAAGAAAAAATTAAAAGAAAAAAATGGAACCAACTATATATGTAGTGTATGTAAGGGTCATTGTTCTTTCTTTTTCTCGGGAGATCTGAAATAAATGAAGGAGCTTCAGGTCAATGTCTGAATTTTGTCTCCTTTCTCATTTCTTTACATACTCCAGAAGGCAGCAGCAGCAGAAAATCCTGTTTTTTTCCAAACTATAAGTACAGTAAATTAAAGGAAGAATGAAAAGGCTTTAACAGGGATTAGTCTGAGACTTTAAGATACTGCACAGCATCCCCAAGAAGTCTGTGGGGTGTCTAGTTCAGTGATTTAGCCTCCTTGCTTCCTCTCAAAAAGACAGGATGTGGAGTTTCGTCTAACCAGCACATTCAAAATATGTTCCCACTTGGGAAACAGAGGAATAGTGTGGGAATGGCCCTGTCCTTTGCACTGAGCAGGGATAAATAGGTTATAATGAGAAAAGGTTCAGTTAAGCGCTCCCTAACACCTGGCAGGAGAGGACCAATGCCTGCCGGTATTCCCAGGTCTTTGTAAATCAATCTGTGGTGTTCCTCCTTCCTCGTGTTACCATCATCTGAGCCTTGTATAATTAGTGCAGTTCTACTGACAAACCTTCTGAAAGCTGTAAGTGTTGTCTTAAAAAACAAAGTATGAGTCAGGATCAACATGTAGGGAGCAGATATGGTTAGTCTGTGAAAGTCAGTGTTAACGGTCATGCTCAGTACATGAAGGTTCTGTGCGTGGGAACAGAGGCATGGCCCACAGGGAAGCTAAAATAATTCCTCCACTCTGTTTAGATCATCTCAACAAGGATGTTGTGTCCAGTTTTGGAGACCACATGTCAATAAAAGTGTGAGCCACCTGGAATGACTGCAGAGGAAAGCAATGAGAACCAGCTGATGTCCTGAAAAGATATAGAAGGAAGGATGAAAAGATACTTTGCACTGAAGAAAACTGAAAGGGAGACATGATGACTGCCAACAGAAAAAAAAGAGGAACGGAACACTTGTTCGCCATGTCCACTGTGAAGACTGTGCCAGACTGGAACAGTTAAACCTGTAGAAACCCCATCATCAGAGGGTCTTTGAGGACACATCAGAAGCTTCAGAGGCAAATGGACTTTCACTGATCCAGGAGAAGGATGGACTAGTCTACCTCTAGCCATCCCCTTCAGCCCTGTTCTCCATGATTTTCACTCATCCCCACCACTAGCGTGCTGCAGGACTGTTTAACACAAGATGTGCAACCAGCAGATACCACTTTGGACATGCATTTATTTACCTGTTCATAAAACTCATTGACAATGCCTTCTGTCCACTGCAGATGCAAATCTTTGCATTTTGCAGGCCCGTTTATGTCAGCCAGTTTGATGCACATCTGGCAAACCAGCAAGCGGTCATTCTCATTAGTCCAGTCAATTCCAACATCATCATTCACCTAGTAGACAGAAAAAGGAAAACCATGACAGTAATCCTGGGTAAAAGGATGCATCCACAGAGGAAGTTCTGCCCTGGCATATCTTACAGTATATTTCACTATTTAACAAAATCACAAGGGTAAGCAGGTGAGCTAACCCAAGGTTGGAATTTACAATCAGCTCTAGAGCAATATATAAACAGAAAAATAAGTGAAAAACAACAAAGATTGAGATAAATTATGAGAAATTAGTATTTAGCAAATAATGTGCCTGTTTGAAAGCATTTGCTAGGAAAACAAACAATTGCAATCTTTCCATGACATTTTCCAAGAAGTTACTAATTGATATGTAAAGACAAATTACCATCAAATGCCATGTTGATTTAATTGCAGTGTGAAGACGCATGTTCCCTATTTGATCTAAGTATGTCTGAAAGTATTCCCTGTCTTTTTCCTTTTCTCTATTTTCCCCATACCTTCCACAATAAAAAAGTGATATATACTATCAACTAGTCTAAAATAAAAACGTCACCTTAAAGAATCACAGAAAGGTTGAGGTTGGAAGGCAACTTTGGAGATCATATAGTCCAACCTCCCTGCTCAAGGCAGGGCCAGCTAGAGCAGGCTGCTTGGGATCATGTCCAGTTCGGTTTTGAGAATCTCCAAGGAGGGAAGCTCCACAACCTCTCTGGGCAACCTCTTCCAATGTGCAACCCCTGTCACAGTAAACAGGTCCTTCCTTATTTTCAAATGGGGATTCCTGTAGTTCAGCTTGTGCCCATTGTCTCTCGTCCTGTCAACGGATACCACCAAGAAGATGCTGGCTCCATCTGCTTTACTCTCCCCGTCAGGTATTTATACACATGGCTGCATCCCATTAGGTCCCCTGGACTTGTGTATGTCCAGTTTGTTTAAGTGCTCCCTAACCTGATGCCATTCACTGAGGATAAGTCTTCACCATTTCAGACTTTCTCTCACACCTCAGGGGCCTGGGATTCCTGAAGACAGGTCATAGCCACAAAGACTGAGGCTGAGAAAGCATTGAAGGACTTAGGACTTTTACATCTCCAAATAGTCAGCGATAGCAACCTTTACTGCCATTAGCCACATTTTCCCATCTCAGCCTTTTCTCCTAGAATATCTCCTAGCGTGGGAGGGGCTGTTTTCTACTGTCCACTTAATTTTAGAAATTCAAATCCCTCTTTGAAACACAGCTTTAATTCTCAAGCTTGTGATAATTGAAAATGGATAGAAAGTTGTTGTGCTATGACTAGATGAAATGTCCACGCCCTCTGTCAGCAGGTACCCTGCCCCATACAGCAGTGGGCCCACATGGTGAAGGCTTTGCTTTTGGTGTACATGATCCAGTATAACTATTGTCAGAGAACAGTAAGTGCTCCAATGCACTGATATCATTAAAGTGTCGGACAGCGAGCTTCCTTCATTATTCTTTGTTGGTACTTTCCAGACTGCAAGTTTTCTGGTGGGAGGATGCTTACATTACATGTGTTTACATCGACTTCTGTACAGAAGGGTCTCTCTGACTGTAGCCTCAACATACCAAACTACAGTTCAGCATCCCAATCAATAATGTGATCATTTAGAGCTGATTTTATCAGTTACAGCATTTCCACCCATATATAAACATGTCAGGTCTGCTCTTTGAGACCACTCATACAAAAGTTTTTGCCAACCAAACATAAATAATCCCTTTTTACGGCAGAGATTACTCTGGGAAAGCCAGGCTCAGCCACAAGCACTGGTTAATATGCTCACCTTCTCCTCCACTTTTTATTCCATGCATGACCATTTGACTATTCAAGCAATAAGAAGAGAGAAGGAGGTTAACAGATGTCCTTACAAATCTATAGCAAGCTGACAGGATGTGATATATCAGACCATTCTCCAATTTATCTGCAGTGTCTCAGGTATCACCTTGCTTTGTTACAACAGTGGTTACACCTACTGTTGTCCAGCCTGATAGATTTAAGACAAATTTAGTTTTCAATATCCACAATTTACACCTAGTACTTTGGTCAAGCTTGTCCTCTTCCACAGTTAAGACAGTTAATCTCTGTGGCAAAGCCACAGTAATCACTGGTTTAGCCTGTCTTGTTTCATTCCTTACTTGTGTTCACAGAAGTGAAGGTTTTGGTCCAAACTGTCAAATTTAAGGGATGCATTCAGACAGCCTAAACTCCCCGTGCTTTGAGATGAGAATCTGCCAATACTGTTCAGTACTTTAGAAGGAAATTAGGCTGGTGAAAATGATCCCAGAGTTTAAAATTAAGACCTAAATAAACCCCCCTGATATTACCAGAGGTTTTGGGACATGACTAGCAGGGGTGAAGGAGTTCAGACTTTTACAGATCTACAGATCAGTTCTCTGTCTACCCTGGACCATAATGTAAGGCCTTTCTTTACAGCTTCTTAAAGCCTAACAAAGAGAGAGATGTTACAGGGAAATGGAAAACAAAAACAGTCACAGATATGGAGGCCTCAGAATTTCAGAATACAGGTCCATCTTAAGCAATACCACAAGAAAACATTTTGTCTATGTCACCAAAACAGCTAGGAGGTCCTAGCGCTGTATGAGAAACACACTGTGCTTGGTGTGTTTCTCCCAAGGAACAAAAAGGCAGTACCAGTTCCAAGGGCAGGTATCATCTAGGTAATGTGCCAAAAGCTTTGATGGATGATGGAGTTTGTTAAAGTAAGTTGATAGGTGGTGATTTCCAATAAGGTAGGTTGAAACTGTACAATAACTTCTTAAGAATGGTTTCCCAGGATTGCAATTTTATACTCACTGAATGGAGTGTGCAGGAAATATCTTTAGTGACCTTTCTCTGGGGTTTCCCCATTTGAAACAAAGTAGGAAAGAAAGGTTATGCTTTCATTGCATTTGAAATTAGAATTTCAATATTGTTACAATTTCTATGCTTTGATAATACAACAGTACGATTAACCCCCCCCAAAAATCACTTGAAGTATTTAGCCATTATGGAAACTTGGTAACATCTTTGATTTTTTTTCCCCGAGTGCTTTGCTAAGAGGTCTAAAGTGCCAGTGACCAAGAAAACGATGTTGAAAAGTAGGATGTAAGTGGGATTTACATTCAAATAGTCCATAATATCCTTGGCCTTAAACCACTTTCTGAAAAAACTAAACATGTATAAGAAAATAAGCTGTGCCACTAAATTTAAATGAGTAAAAAAATAACAAAGTGACAGATTACTATTCTACAGAATGCTTTAGAGCAGCCAAAAGGACATTCAGAAGAAAGAGCAACACAGCAGCCTTTCTAGCCTTTTCACTGTGATGCTACCAAGCCCCACAATTGTTTCTGACCATTCACCAGAAGCCTGAAACAATTTTCTTACCTTGGCGTTGAATTTGGCAACAAAATCAAAGTGTTTCTTCAGGTCAGTAGCCAAAATTGCCTCAATGACGAGGAAGCGGAAATGCTTGAACTCCACGTGGTCGAGGTTGACCAGGAAGTTGTACTCTGGCCTCGACATGAAAAGGTTCCAGGCAGCAGCGGCATGGTGGTTCTCCAGGACGGAGCGGTCGTTGTACAGCACCGCCTGTGAAAGCAAAGCGGGCAGTGGAAAGCTGAGAAACCTCTTAGCAAAAGAAACACTGCAATGCAGAAATGAGAATGATGTGGGGATGATGCATGAGGGAGGTTGAGGTTTGGTTGATTTGTTTGTGGTTTTTTTAAAGAACTTCTGGAGGTTTGAAGGTGTGATTTTGGCAGACCCCTGAATTGTTGTGGTGGTGAAGATTTATTGGAAGACTGATTTGAAAAATCTGTGTTTTTCATGTTCAAGGGTCTTCAGTTCCTGACTGAACTACGTCATATGACAATAAGATTATTCTGTTTCAGGCCACAAATAAATTACTAATATAATATCATAGAATCATAGAATGTTTTGGGTTGGAAGGGACCCCTAGAGGTCATCTAGTCCAACCCCCCTGAATATAGGTGTGTGCTTCCCTGTTTCTCAGAATTAACCTCACTTAACAGGGATCATTGTCTTTGGCATTTGTACCTCGGAATTCTGTCCATACTGGACTGGTTCCAAACACAGAAACAAGTGAAATTCCAGTTTGCAACCTGACAACACACACTCAGCCTGACAGATTTCTCAGTGCTAAAATCCAAAATTGGTTAAATCTTTACCAAAGTGCATAATTCTCACAGTGATGGCAATTCCATTCAGAAACTAAAGAAAGGTCTAGACAAGGGAATTCAGGAGACAACCATCCAGGAAATCTCTCTACTTCAGCAGAATTCAGTCTTCTGGCAATTTGGTTTATGGAAAGAAAAGCTTTTGGAAATATACGTCTATGTAAAATAGATACAAGTTTTGTAACTTTTTACACAAATATATACAAATAGGTTCCAGTGGCTTTTCACTTCAATTATATTTTTCTGTCATCGAGAGATGAAGAAATTCAATCCTATCCTAAAGTATAGAATCTATTCTTTACCCTAGAGAACAGGTTGCTGAAGCAACTCAGTTTTACAGCCCATCTTGCTTAACTGCACAGTAAGCATTTGAGATAGATATATTCTGCTACCCAAGCCCAGCTCTTGAGGCCAGATTCTTAATACAGCCACGCTTTATCATTACTGGAAGCTGATACTGCTTGTCATGCAAAAGAAGAAAAAAACTAGCTGCCAAATACAAGTTCTTCAAATTTCAGATGATATCAGATTTTAAAAACCCCACAAATGACAAACCAAAACCCGCCAAAATAACAAGAAGAATTTGATTTTTTCCCATTAATTTATTTTCAAACTAAGGACAATACATTAAGGCTAATCATCTAACTTCAACCCTTGTTGATTTTTAGAACCACAAAGCTATAGCACTCATTTCTTAACAATAGATTTAAGGATAGCATACATCTTTGATTGGTCTATTTACCTGGCCAGAGTATCAAAGTTCTCAATTGCAGAAAGATATTACAAGGATGAGAAGTATTACTATCAAGTTATAGACAGGAACTGATACAGAACAAGTTCAGGTGACTTGTTCTTGGTGAGAGACGAAGTCTGGATCCAAGTTGGAGAGTAAATCTAGAATTTCTGCACCCCTACTCGACTTCTCACCATTAAGAGAGTTTTTTCTTTCCTTGTCCATAGAAATATTTTTCAGCACACTATGCTGAAGACAGGCAGGTCAGCTATGTGAAGTAAGGAAAGATGATCTCATAATTAAGCCAATAAACAGTGACTCAGAATTGCTGAATTCAACTCCCAAGCACTGTCAGCAACTTCTGTGTAACCTTAGGTAAGTCTCAATTCTTGATTTATAAAACTGAAATTATTTTCCACACACTCCCCCAGCCCCAATAGATGCATAGTGTAAAAATACATTCATAAAAGACTGCAGCTGCTCATATTCTACAGGAACAACAGAAAATACGTTACAATCATGCACAAACTAACTTGCATGGAGCACTGTCAACTATACAGGTGCTTTTTTATTTTATTTTACTCTTTCTGTGCCTTACTGGGTAGAATAATTCTTCCCTTATTTCACAGTTACCGATTCTCTATCAGTCAGCACAGCACTAGCTTCTCCTTCACTGAGACATTTTATCAGTACACTTCTTAACAGCTCTACTAACTGAGAGTTAGTGAGGGTGGTGAGGGTGTGTAAGAAGACTCTTATCGGTAATCCCCAAGTGAAGTGATTATTTCTGTCACTTTGACAAGCTGTTTCAAAATATTTGGTAGACTTGTGCTTAATGGAAGCCACAGGCACCACTGGCAAGGAAAAGCTGTTACCAAAGGCCTTCCAAACTTAATAGCCACAGTGCTTGAGATTTATTTACCTGAGGAGCACTTGTTGCTACCAAAAAGGCATTGGTCCTTCCTGGATGATCATAATCATGCATGGCTGCAGCTACATAAAGAGCCATCAGTTCAAGGGCAGGGATGTTGCCAGCTAGGCATCCATAGCTGTCATCTGTAGGTGTGTATGTCTTCGAAAACACATAACCCATATGGCCATGAGTGATTCCACTGTCAGAATCTAAGCAGAAATAAATAAATTAAACAACAAAAAAAATCCTTGCCACTTTTTCAGTGACATACTGAAACAGATAGGATAACAAAGTAGGCAGAGGAGCAAATTTACAATACATACCAGAAAAGTAAACACATCCTGACCTCAATGCTTTCTGATACTGTGCACATGATCCAGTGCAGTAAGACACACAATTGGGAAGGAACAAATTCTGATCCCATCTGGGGATCTTCCAGGCACCCAGCAGAGCCTGTTGTCAAACTATGAAAGTTACTAGGAATAAGCCATGGGTTCATGGCCATCCTGGAACTTTGTGGGCAACTCGATCTTTGCCCTCTTTCCTCTAATTTATTTACCATATAGATTAGTCTATGAGACACTGACAGTCCTTAAAGCAATGGACTACCATTTATTAATTCAGTTATGGTACATGTTTTCCAATCCAAAGGTCTAGACTTCAGATCTTTGCTGACGATCCTCTTAACAGCCTCTTTTTGAAGTAGCTTGAACATGCCTGTCAAGGCAGATACTGAGTGAGATGCTTTGTTAATTTAATCTGCTTGGATGGATTCATGCAGCTGAAAAATGTCTTTCAAATAACAGAAACCACAAAGCCCCGAAACTTAACCCCTTCCATTGCACCCATTTCAGCTCACCTACAAAGCCTCCAACATAATAAATTGCTAATAAAATTTTCCAGGAATAAAATGTTCCCTGCCCCACCAAAACATCCTGAAGAGTTTCACAAATGATGGGTATGTGCCACACAAACACCACCAAAAAAACCAGAAGTGTAAGTTGTTTCTGTGGAACAAACTCCTGCTTTTCCAGTAACTCCCTTAGAACTCCCACAAAATACAGACAGGTCCTCTACTTGCTACAGCTGAACCTGGAGAATTTAATATGGAGTAAGAATAGCTTCCTGTAAGGAGCAATCATAAAACAGCAGACGAGTGGTCTTGCAAACTAGTTGCAAACCGGTAACAAGTCTCTTTCTTTGGAGACGGTGAGGAAAGGCAAAGGAACACTTCACAACAGCCAAGCAGCGTCAAGAGCATGGCACTACCTGCATGCCCCAGCAGTTTTGTAATAGCAAAAGAATGCAGGGTTTGAGGATTTAAAAGTCTATGCTTCCTCTGAGTTGAAAAAGACTACTATTACAGTTTTCCTAGAAAAAACCTATTGTGAAAACCAAATGGTAACAAAGACCTGTTGTTATGGGTGACCACAAAGGCTTGCATTCACACATCGTTAAATGTAAAGTATTATGTTTTGGAGGACCAATTCCATTCTCTTCAAAGTTATACAATCATACCTTACCACCTTCAACCTCCAACGTGCTACTATACTTGTAAGTCTCTATAATAACAAGTACTGCACGCAATCCTCAATTGTTGGCTTTCTTACAGCAAATTTCATGACAAAAACTAAAAATACAACACATATACTTGCACATTTAAATATACCTGAATCGCTTGCTGACCCATGATCATTAATCACAGTTGGGAGTCCTGGGATGGGCTGAGTAGTAAGGTACCAAACGGCATGTAGAACATCAGTTGCATGGGTTCGGTTGTGATCTGTGATACAAAACAAATGACCCTGCTATTAAACATGAAGGATATTTCCGACAGAGGGAAATCAGCACCATCTAGTGGGTACCGCGTGGCAGTCAATTGAGCAGAGAGAAATCAAACATTACCACAAGCGTAAAAACCAGCTGTATTCTGTAAATGCTCAGTTTCTCTTTTAGAAAAGTTGAAGCACATTCAACGGTATGTCTCACACCAGTCAAGAAAGAGAAAACAGTAGAGAATCAATGGGATCTGCAGTGTAGGAAACTTTGCAAAGAATGTGTTAAACAGGGAGCCTGACCTGTGCTACCAGCTCCAATCCTTTACTCCTGCGGTTGCCTTTAGCTAGTTAAATACCATCGGCTATGTATACACAGTTAACCCCTGATTCAAATTAAATCAATGGGAAAATCTCACCCCCTTCAGAAGCCAGATTACACCTAGCTCCTAAATACAAGTCAGGTAACACTTACCTGACTCTGCCTGAGCAAGTTTAGATGCTGTGCTAGCAGCTGCACTGCAAAAAAAGTCAAACTCAGGATATTCATACACTGCACAGTTAAACCAGGTTCTTTCTGCAGTTTTCTGGCCAGAGATAAGAGTTTAGGCCCTAGATCCTGTAATCTGGCTTACTACAAGCTTGCAGAAATGAGAGATAAAGTCACCCCAGGGCTTAGACTACCAAATCCCTCAAGGCCAGATAAACTATCCCACAATCAACACAACAGGCTGAAAAAGAATCACATGCTAGTTCAGCACAAAACATCATCTAAACATACACTAGCAAAGAGCAACCATGATGCTGAAAGAGGGGTAATGCTTTGCTGCACCAGGACCAAAGCTTACATTTGCGGTTAAACCACTGAAGGACAAGCATTTCAGCTGGTGATTCAGGCTAATTTTGGGTTATACTGACTAGCTAAACAAAAAGTATGCTAATCTAAATGATAACCTGTGGCTACATTACTGCTGCCACAGTTCTGGAAAGATGAATTTCAGAGGACAAAGCACAAAAATGTGGGACTCCACTGCTGGGTCACCCCCATCTGTAAAACTCACAGTAACTGGCTACATCTCTGGATAATCAGTCATCTTAGTTGGAGACACCTTAGTAATGCCAGTCATGTGTCTCTCATTGGCAGACCCAACTGCTGGAACAGGCTTGATGGGAACAGGTGAAGAACAAGGTTATATTAAGAAGATAATGGTCAAGAACGAGGGTAACACTGGAGATGATATGTATCCTTCATTAGGAAAAATTACCAGCACACAAGTCTAGAAGCCCTCTCTAAGAAGTAATAAGTAAAGTTGACTGGATGGATTGGGGTGAAAAACCCCCCTGTACTCCAAGGGAGTACAATCAACTGGCAGCAAGATGTGTAAGCAACCTATTTTTACACCTACTGCATCCTAAATACACGCAGTGTGAAGCTGACAGAGGGTTTCTCAGCACTGAAATTGAACTTCAACCTAAGGCTGCTCCTTCTGTGGGAGGAGAGGAAGGAAGGAGAAGACTTGGGATGGAGAAAGCACCCTGGAGAGCCTCTGCTTTCTTGCCTCTGCTAGGGGGTGGATAATGCCTGCTGCTGCTGGGAACAGTCACCCGCCCCTTCCAGAGCAGCGCTGCTGAGCCCACATTTCTAACCCCTGCCATCAGTGAGGCAGCAGCCACCAGCCTGCATTTCCTTGGCTCTGGCAGAGGAGCGCTCACCATCTTGCTGACCCTACCCCCCAGTGCTGGAGGCAACTGCCTACTTTGTCTATGCCTAAAATCAGCAGTATCGTGCCTGCCAAAGGCAGACGGGTGTAACACAGAAAGGTTTATTATATTCACAATTTGCAGTCACTTTGCTTACTCACTAAATGTGAGCATAATGTCATGTCACTTGGCCCTTTTATTTACCCCTTGCTTTCCTTTCTTGCTCTCCTTTGTTTTCCCTGTGACCTTCCCTCTAAATACCTATTAGTGACCGCTAGGTGAAATTTTTAACAGCAAAACACTAAGCAGCATAGGCATAGTCATTTTTGGAAAGGACAAAGTAAAATAAGGGAGGAGTGTCCTCTCCCCTGCCTTCCTCGAAGCACTAAGAACATTCTCCTGAGACACTAATCTCCTCACACAAAACCTAGAAGATGGCCCTGCATAGGTGTCTAACGCTTTTCTCAGGAGTAAAGGTTGGATTAGCCTCTTGTGAAACTGGTACTGATTTCATCCAACTGGGATAGTCACCATTAGTTTTGTGTGAATAACCCATTTTTCAGTTCAGCAACCAGAAGAAAGCAGTGGTTAAGTCTGAACAAGTTGTTTCGGTTTTTATCCCTCCACAGAAATGAAAAACTGGAAGGTAAATTAAATTTCTATTAGACAAAATATTCTGCTTTACTAAAATGAAACACACTTAAGAAAAGAGAAGAAAATGAAGGGCTAGATTCACAGAAGTGCCTGAGACTCTATGAATAGTTAAATGTTTCAAACAAAGAGGAATGGCTCCAGTAGGACAGACAGACTGTGGGACATCCACCTATAACCTCCTCAGGCTATAACCTGCTGCTTCAAACCCCTGATCAGGTTCAAACACAAGGAAAGATCTGAAGTTTGGTCTCTCGCTTTCCCAGAAGAGTTCAAACCACCTGTCTGGGAGGTATTTTGACATAGCTTTCCTTCAATCCCTCCCACTGTAGCTGTTCCAATTGGTATTTAATATTTTGAGAGAGACTACATGACTTATTAAACCAATGTCTCAGACGTCTTTCTGGGAGGTGGGAGAAAACAGGGTGTCCTATATTCCTCGACACTGGAGTTATCTGCCAGCTGAAGGGGGTAATAACTCCCCCTCTCCTCCTGAAAAACAAGTCTTTTGCAATTAAAACGGTTTGGTAAATTTGATTTGAAGTAGCAAATACTTTGGGGATGACTGAAAGCAGGTTTTTCAGTGAATAAATGATTCACACTGAAAAATATCAGCCAAGCTGTATTTGCAGGAAAACAGGATGCATTCATCTACTTGGCATATTTTTTTCTGCTTTATAAAGTTCAGCTCGTTTGGTAGCGTAGCACTGCTACTGTGTAAAAATCCACATTGCTTATGGGGGGGAAATGTTTCAATAAACTCCATTTGGGGAACTGTGGTACACTTGCATCATCAGGAAACAGTTCTGTGTATCTATAGTAGCTTTACATAGTTTGAAGCTTGCAGAGAATTTGCCATAAATTATTATGAAACAACATGCAACATTAAATGCAATGAAAAGAAGACAAAAGGCTGTGGTTCAGCACCAGCCTCTGACTAGAGACCCAGCCCTTTGGTCGTGATGTAGGAGAAGAAAAAGAGTAGCTGTTACCATGAGGAAGAAAGGCGTCAATAACAAAGTGTGTGGAAAATACCCAAAACTTTAAGGAAGCATTGTTATCTGCTGGGAATTTTTACTTACAAGGTATCTCTCGGTATCCGCATTCCAAGGCATGAAAGTAGTTCATAAATTCCCTCACTGGTATTTTAAAGGTTTCAAACAGTCCCATGTCTTCAAAAAGCCTGTAGGATACCTGAAAAAACCAAAACAATCATGCTGCTAAATAGACCAGAAAAACTCTAAAAATTAGATATAAGAATAATTCTGTTGAATTAACCCATGAAAACTTGCTTTCCTGGTAGTATCTTCTCAAGTGCATCTGACACAGCTATAGCTGCAGCTAGTTGCATTTCCAATGGGCTACATTGTGGGAGCTCCATAGCCAAACAGACAAACTATTAGTACCAAACAGTCCTCATTCCTTCATTACACCCTTCCAGATGTTCTTCTCTTCCTTTCAGGCATATGGATTCCCCAAATTTTGCAAGAGCCTCAGAAACATACACACATGAAGGAAGATAGCCAGAGGTCCTTAGAGTCTTGGTAAAAACTTCCCCACAATCTTCTCCAAGGAGCATTTGTGAGTCAAATCAATTCCCAGAAAAAGGGGGAACAGGTGGTGGAATGCCAAAAGGAGAGAAACATTCAGATCTTATGCATTATCTCTTTTCCCTCACCCCCATTTTGGAAGTGAAATGGCAAAAGCGACTTCTCCAACAGGATTTCAGAGGCAGCAGGCAGCTTAGGAAGCAGAGCTGCTCCGAGTATTCCTGCATGGAAAGGTAACTGTAGACATCCAGGAGAGGATATATTGGAAGGGAGAATATGATGGATGAGTGAGGGAGCGTTCAGGGAAGATGACTGCTCAGAAATGTAGACACCAGCCGCTGCAGGATGGACACTTTTGAAAACAAGCTTGAACTTGACATAGAGAACAATGGGACACAGTAAAATTACTGCTTGACCTTTTCACTTCTTTCACAAATTGGACCCTGAAGGCTTTCAGCTTCTTTATTTATTTACTGCTGTTAGCTAAATTCTGTCCTTTTGATGCCATCTGTCAGGTAATGATCTGCCCAGAGCTAAGCAATTTAAAGCGCATTTGGAACGATGAATGCTATACCGATAAGAAATTGTTACAAATTATGTTTCATGCTTCACACCTGAATGCAAACCAAACACCTATCCACAGCCATGTCTTTCTGCATACATAGATTGGGACTTGTGAGTTGCACTTCAAGTTTAGTGAACAGGAACTTCAAACGTCCTGCCACTGTGGATTTTTACAGTAAGAATAATTAAAAAAAGGATATGAATTTGCAGCTTTAATGATCTTCAACCCCCCTTCCCCTCCTAGTCATTCCCTACCAGGAAAAATCTGCATGTGAATTAACTGTGGCGCAGCATTGCAACAGGCAGTGATGATGCGGAGACGGGTTGAGCGTGGTGTCTGACACCATCCAGGATGCCCCTCTAATAACACATACCAGACTGTTAGGGTTCTGCTGGTGGCCCCAGCTCTTGTGTCTCTTCCTACCCATAATTGTTAAGTGCCACTAGCAATGCAGTCAGAAAAAAATCACTGCTGGTGGTAATTTCTCTTTGTGGCCATGCCTGTTAGCCATAAAGTGAAAAGCTCTTTATAGCAAAGGAGAGAAGGGACAACTGAGTTACAGTGCTCTGGAAGACACGAGCTTAAAAGGTACGGCCTGTAGAAGGCAAAACTTTACTCTCTGAAAACCCCATGGGATCCTCCTGTACCGAGGCAAACCGAAGAAGCTGCCTGTGTGCGTAATTTGGATTAAAAACTGCACAGAATTCTGTTTATCTATCTGGAATCACGGCTGAAGCGTATCAGCTGGGATCCAAACTTTCAGCTACAGAGAGATGAGGTGTTTTACAGTTAGATCACTGAATGGTGAGTTCCGTATTTCCAGCAAAATATCCCTGTATAAAAAGAGGAAGCATAAAGAAATATGATTCTGCAGGAACTAACCTTACTGGTCTACGCTACCAATACTGGACAGGTATGTTAAAGCATGTCATAAAAGCATATTTTTCCCCCATCCTGGATTTTGGAGGGCCGGAAATTCCACAGCAGTTGAAAAGATGTGAAGCTGACTGTGATGGATATGAATGATAGCTCTTCCCCATGATTTGGAGTAAAATAGTATTATTCTCTGTGTCATTAGAAAGCATAAATAGCCAAGCAAGTAATTCAGACTGTTTTGTAATGTTTTCTTTCTTAGCAAATGGGGAGGAGGGAGGGATAAGGGCGCGTTGAAAGAGGCAGAAAGGGCATTGATGTCTTCCAGAAAGTCAACTAACTAAATTCTTTCATTTAAAAAAGAAAAACTGTGCAGTTTTGTTTATTCTTTGCTCTGGATTGACCCTTTTTAAATACTTGTTTTTTAAAATCCTTCCTTCCCAAACCACATGCTGCTTCATGAGCTCCCTGGGAGTTACCAAACCACAGACTGAGCATGGCACCCTTGCAGCCACAGTGAGGTTCTCATAGCCAGGGACAAGCCCAGGGAAACTCTGATGGCTGCGACGCGCTTGGCAGTGGGTGCTCCGCACCGTCTCTTCCCTCCTGCCTCCATTTTCTGCTTGCCTCTGCTATGATTGCTAACACTGGAATGAATTATTTATAACTCAGATACTTCTGGCGGTGCTGCCTGAAGGAGGACAAGTGCTTCTCCTGAATGATTCCTAATGGAAGCTTTTATGGAAATGGGGATTGTTATTCACATGTAGCTCCTCTCCTGGGTGTTGCAGGCCTACATAGATGGTCCTTGTGCAAAGTTTTGGTTAGCAGTTCCCCGCTCGTTGTTGCAGGCAACACTCCTTTTTTGTCTCTTGTATTTTCTTCCTGAAAACATGTGTTTCTTTTAAGTTGATGGCACCTGGCCTCTGGCTTTGATGAACATGACTCCTCACAAGGGCTGTTGTGACAATGCTGGGAATATCCCATCCCTCAAGGATTGATTTCCCCTCACCCCTTTGTATAATGGCTGCAGTTTCTCTCTGCAGAAGTCATGCATGATGATGAGATGACCAAACATTCCTTTTGGCACTACCCAGGGACCAGCTCATGTGCACTGCAATGAGGCCTCCCTGCCTTGACGCTGCTCATGTACCGAGAGCATAGGAGCATCACCAGCATTTCTCATCTCTATGGGCCCAGTAATAAAAGCTAGAGAGAGGTCTTGACTTCAGCCTTTTCTTTTTCACTTTGTTTGCTTTCCAAAGAAAATGAATTCCTTTTCTACAGGTTTTAGTTTTATAGGGGCTGTAAGAAGTGTGTTAAGTGTGACTGAAGACATGATCTACCTTTATGGCCTGTTGTGAAGCATCAACTCAGCTGGAGAGCTTTACTGTTCCTTTCTGAAATGAGACCAGTATGTAAATTCCTCTCTAACCCCTACCATGCATATTTGTTAGTGCCACGTTTAGAGTGCTTTCCACTGTACTTTGCACAGATGCTTTTACGGCCGCTGACTGGTTTGGGGTCTTTTTATATGCCTAAATCAATTTAACATTCCAAAAAGAAGAAACAGACATCTCAAGCAGCTTTAAAGATGCTAAGCCAGCATTTGCTTTCTAAACTGAATGCTTCCCTAGAGGCACGTGTCAACTCTGCTTTGTTCCATCTCATAAATTTAACCTAGCAAGGCAAACATAGTTAATTCAGCTTGTTAATTTACTTCATTTTAAAGGATGAGTACATTTAATAAGAAAATACAGAGAATAAATCATTAGAGCTTTTGATTTCCTTTGTTCACAATACCCCAGGATTTAAAAATTATACAAGAAAAAGAAAAATACTTTTAGCTAGAGAAAAAGATTTATTTATTTTAGTTCTCTTATTTCTGAAAATAATTTTGTTAGGAACGTATGAGTAGGTGGGGGAAAGAACTAAAGGAACTATCTTTATTTTATGAACAAGGTTGAACTTGCTACATTCTGCTCTTAGGGAGTGGGAGTTATTACAAACAGCTGTTATAGAAAATGTTTAATTTTGATCACAAATATTACTTATTAAAGCTTCACTATTTTTTTTCACAGGCCTCGTTTTCTGGTACTGCAAAACAGATAATGTGCTCAGAACCTGTGCAAAAAGCAGATGTTGGGAAACAGAGCATGGAGCTTTAGTGCAAATTGAGGGAGGCACAGGGGAATTGCTGCGAGAGGTACAGAACTTCATGCAACTTGGTAAAGTACTTAAAACCTGTAGAGGTACCCATATAAAACCAGAACAAATTTTGGCTCATCCGAACTGTTGGTTATGCCATTAAAAAAAAGTTCTGTTTTTCCTTATGTTTCATTTTCCATTCTGTAGTGTGCTTTTCTGTTAGAAAACACCATAACCAATATGAGCTAGAAGAGCATTTTAATCACAAGCTCACTGTCTAGTACAAACGTGTCTCAATGACCATCACCGAATTTATATCAATATCCACATCCAGCCATAGTTTGCCTATTTCTCTAAAATTAGCCTAGAGAGCTTGCAGGCTGGTTAAACATAGCTGTTACTTGCCAAGCTACAGAACGATAAAAGGCAGACCACAGAATAAATTTGAATTCATGCTGAGGTTTTCCTGGTTGATCACCGCATACCTGAATGTAGCTGAGTAATAGTTAACCACCAAGTGACCAAGATTTGATAGGGCATTCTCTGGAGCTTGTTGCACTAAGATCTGCCTGACACACTAACCTCTGTGTTTGGGGGGGTGTTAATTGTCCCACATTATACCAATTAACATAATCTCTTCTTTCCAGTACTCATGACTACATAAAGCCTTGTAAAGTCATACTAGATCAGATTCTCTTGGGTTTTTTTCCCTTCCATCCCTAAATATAATTCCTTGCCTTTCCTGTTTAATAAACCTCAATATTTCTGTAAGAAAAAATGGCTAATTTGTCCATGTGCCAGGAAAAGGGGCATAACAGGGCAGAAATTTCAGCCAAGGAAGTGATTATGGAAGAGACATTAATTGTGCTAGGTAGAGATGGGCTGTGTCAGTACCTGCATTCAACTTAATGCAGAGAACGAAAAAACGATAGTTGAAAGACAGATTAATAAACTCTCACATCCTGATTCATAGTAAATTAGTCTTCCCTATGTAATAATGATATGAATTTACTATCAAAGTACTGACTCTTTAAAGGTTATATGAGGAAATATAGCAAGGACTACTTTTCCCCCCACTTCCCGAGACCTTGCTTTCCCGTACAGCCTGACTGAAATCTCCAGTATAAAAACGGACCAAAGTTCTGTATTTCCTGCATCAACTGAATATATCTACTGGTTAGCCCTTCCACGCTGAACCCCATGAGAAATCCTTTCACTAAGAACTCAGTAAGAGGTGGCAGCCCCTCCTGCAGATAGAAGAGAATATTCAGAAAGGTTTATGTAAACTCATTGGCAGAAAGCAGCAGGAGAAATAGGTGCGTGTTTTTTTCCTTCACATTTTAAAATTTAAAAATACAGAAATTTAAAAGTAAGGAATGTAATAAATCAGAGTTCATACTGTCAGCTTTGAATTAGGTGGCAGGGATCATAATTCATGGGATGACAGCTTGTAAGAACAATGAGCCTTAACACTACTTTGTCTGAATCTGTCAATAATTTAGCCAGTCATTGCAGACAAGAGATCCTTCTTACCTGACTGAGAATCCGACCACATTTCTTTCCTATTTTTTCCACCAAATCAAAGATTGGGAAGTTCCAGCTATTTAGCTGTTCCATCAGGGGATCCAAGTTGTCCATAACCAGAGGCTCAGGAGCAAGTACAGGCTTGTCCTATGCCAGAAGTCAGAATAAAGAGAAATTTTAGTTCTGTGAAGCATCTCATGCAAAAATTTATGCTCTTAAAAACTAAGGTCAGATTAGCATCATCTGTAAGCCAATGGTACTTGACTCAGCTCAGCGGAGATGTCCCCATTTCTACCAGCCCTGCAGCTAGTCACTCTCCTTTATAATTTGTTTCAGCTGAATGAATTAGGAAATTCTGTATACGAAACATCAGTCTCTGAACTTATCCATGAGACACATTCATTCATTCATTCATGGGAATCATTCATTCATTTCCAAGGGAGTCTGTCTTCATTGTAAAATTTGCTGCAGTACAGAGGGAAAAGCATTCAGTTTCTGCTTCCGCATCAGGACCCATTTGTTATAATCTAACACAGCTAATGGAGCTCGGTCTGAGTGAAGACTTGTACTTCTTAAACTGAAAACTACCTGTCTTTCAAGGTCTGCAAATAAAGGATGGGGGGTGCCCCTCCTTTCACATTTCTCCCTGTGTACTTCCTTGAATTTCATTACTACCAAGAAACTGTACATGAGTAAATGCCAAAATATCCCAAGGAAAATACCTTCTCTCAGCATGTCCAACTCCAATTCAACAGTTTACAATACATTTTTCAAGAGCTCTTGCCAACTTATATTTGTTAATTCAGTTGTACAATAAGCTGTGGAAAATATAATTAAACAAAGCTTTCCTTCTACATCTCAGTCAAGCTTACAGCTGAATACAGTCGCTGTGAGAAGATAAGCACTTGTTCACCATACTGCAGTGTTCTTATGTTCAAGACATGCACCAACAATAATATCATGGAGCATCCTCAGACAAGTGTTAATTTGTTTTAAAATAAAGACCACTGTGTATGTTAGCCAGGACTGAAGGCCATTGAGAAGCTGAAGTGGATGAACAGGAAGACTATGTATCATGCTGGTAGTCTGAAAAGATAATTTCTCTTCCTTCCAATCTATTCCCTTTAAAGACAGTGTTAACACAGAAGCCAAACATTTCAGAAATGCCTAACACCAGATCCATAAACTTATATTTATTCATCAAAATAGATGGTTAGTGTTTCACAAGTGGCCAGTGCTTAGCAGCTGTCACACATTTCAGTGGTTCCTTTCAATTCTTGAAATTCAATTCTCTTCCTGCAAGGTAGAAGCCTGCTGCAATTGTTGCTTAAAACCATGGTCACAATCTTTTGAGAGTCCTGGGGTTTTTTTGTGGGGGTTTGGGTTTTTTGGTTGGCTTGTTTTTCTGTTGTTTACCACCCCCCACCCCCTACCCCCCCAGTGTCAGTATACACTCAGTCTATTGTGCAAGTGGAACTTAAACAAGCTACCTCAGGTGGTATTAAGGGATGCAGAATGATGGTCTCAGGGGTGTACGTCCTACAGACGGATCCTTTCCGTGTCTGCTCTTTGGAGCAATCTGTCTCATCATCATTTTGTACGATATCGCTGCTGTCACTGTTGTTGGTCTCATAGTCAGAAGTGGCTTGCGCAGGATCATCTACAACACAAATCAAAAAGCTTGTTGTGTGAACAGCAAGGATTGCATCAAAGTTATCCTGTGACCTTCTGAATAATAGCAACAGGATCTCTGACTCATAATACATATGTGCTGCTTGGCTGGGTCCAAAGTCAGACAATCTGTCCAAAGGCATTAAAGCATATACCCTGCAGAGTGTAAAAAATGGGATCAGGGATTGAAGAGTGAGGAAAATTTTGAGGACTGTTATTTCAACTGACGAGGTTAGATAAGGGAAACCCTTTTTCCTTTCTATTTTAACTCTATTCTTCATTAGCATTTTGCACATGTTGTACATACAAAAAGGAAAGCAGCCCCAAAGACTATTTGTATGGTCTCACCTACGTATGTTCTCCTTTTATGACAGACAGTGAATGATTATTGAATTTTAAGGGATGATGAGTTTTTGATGGACAAAAAAAATTACCTGTTCTGTTCAGGGGGTGTGCGGTACCATCATTTCTATCTAGTGTCCCATCACCAGCTTCTATCTGGTTATAGGGTCTGCCACAGCTGAAATACATCAAGAAACATGCACAACATAAAGATCCATGCACATTGGACAGCCTTA